TTCAGACGAGAAGAATACCAGATTGATCCTCGGCTTCTGTGCGCAGGCTTCTCCATGCAAAGTATCCTTATGCACACTTCGATAATAGAAGAGCGTGTTCATAACATGCAGTTCTTTCTTTGCGGAAAGTCCAACAATTTCATCTCTATACTGCTGAGGTCGTAAGAGCCGTTTTTTCAATCACCTCTTTTCAGTTGTTGATGTCTGATTTGACATACGCGTTGAAATAGCACATTCAAATGATGAATTGCTTTGTCGCTACTTGGAACAGAGCACCTCGCATTTCCTCCTGGTATCACTCATATTATGCCTCCAATTTTGGCGCATAGACCTGTAACGAAGTCAGAAGTTTGGCCTGTTGTGGTCTTAGTCGAAGAATGACCACTTTTCCGCTGAAAGGCATTCGTTCAGTCATATTGTCAGCCAAACAGAATGCCAACACCGGCCTGAGCGCGTATCGTGATGTCGACACCTGACAGTAGAATAGCTTCCACCCAAGAAGGTCTCAAATTTCAGAGCCCTGGCACTTTGTTGACGAGATCCAACTATGGCAAGGTACCATAAAGCTTCGTCGATTTCCAATTTCTCTTTCCTTCTGAGTGAGAAGTTGCAATTTTCGACCGTAAACCCTCACTCTCGGCGTCGTTCCCTTGGAGACTCACATGACGTGCCATAACGGCATCGTGCTGCCAGCCTCTTCCGTTCAGAACGGGTGGTGGCTGCGTTGCTGACTTGAATCTTCATCGTCTTTTGTCTATCTTCGGCAACCGTTCGTACGCTGCTACGCACCCAGCTGCCAGAAGGCAAGAAACAGGTTCAGATCACCGACGTTTTGCGGCCTGCCTCGGTTACCCAACCATCTACGCGATCATTGATAACTCGCGTGTCCACCTAGCCGGTATGGCGTTCGATGACTGCAACACCATTAGATGTAATTGGTTAAGTGTAACGGGAGACCTCGTTACGGTTTCCAGTCATCCTCCTTTCTCCTCCGGGCTTGAGACCGGAAACGGTGGAGTTTTTGGAAGAGGTTCATTTCCTCAATCAAC